CATAAGAGTTCAACCTTGCTCGCTGTGTTCTTGACTTGAGAAGGGGAAAACACTAATGGGAAGTTGAATGTTTAACTTTACTGTTTTTTTTACCAAACATAAGGTGTTCTGTTAAATTCTTGGATGATTTTTGTTTTAAACTATATTTTATGAGTTGCGTTTGTAACATCCATAACCCGTATACACGAACCAATATAAGTTACAAATGTCACATCAGAAATGCAAAAACATTTCTTTAAGTAAATTGAATAAAATTTTGTTTCATTCAAACATCTCAAATTTCATAACTTGTACAATTATTATAAAATAATTATTTAGAGAAAAATCATAATTTTTATTCATACTATTAATTATATTTAATACTAACTATTTTAAGAAATTTCAGGCATTTCATTCTCGTATACATGCTAGCTAAGACTTTTAGAACACAGTAGGATGTTATAATTGTTACCTGTAAATATTTCATTGGTGATTGATACCAAGCTCAACTCCTTACTCTTTTTCCTACGTGTGAAAATCATCACATGCTAAGGATACACTTAGTGAGACAATCATATAATATTTAAAGAAATGCAACAAATAAATTTAAATGAATAACCATATTCAATGCAATATGATCTCTTTACATGTATTCCAACCATGTTACCATATATTAACATGATATAAATGGATATCAAGTTTCTTACCAATATACTTTCCATTTATCCCATAAGCTCGTAAGCTTATTTGCATGTTTACCATTTATTAACCAATAAACCATAGCCCAAAGTATAATTGTACGAGGACCCCAGTATAGGAGTCAAATATTACTTCGTAGTACTGAGGTAGAGCCTTGCTCACCTAATAATGCACTGTAGTGTTGATGTCGGGCTTTACCCACTTTGTACACCGTAGTGTTTTGTACCGTATGTCTTCATTAGACACTTTGAGGCCTGCACTATGTGCCTTCGCTAGACACTCTAGTGCTACCTAATATGCAGCTGCTAGACTCTATGGCATGCCATTAATACCACTGACACTCAATAGCATACTTGGGCATATAGTCTATTGTTTTTTTCATCAATGGCAAAGTATATTATCATAATTTAACATTGGTCAGTTCATACCCGAAATATCATTCGTGATAAATATCATATATGTTCATGATAACATCATATGTAAAGATTGTGATCAATGCATTTTATATTCAAACTTTGACATATTTAGAATATGCCAAATATATGATAAATGACATAAATATCATGTCAATATAAACAAGGTAGACTTATCTCAAGTCCTACCCAAGGATGTATAAAACATCCATGTATATTATGTATGCATTTCACTTACTTTGACATTATATGCAAGTCAAAATATAAGCCTCACTAAGCTTTAACTTGATCATTTGCTTCTAGTTAGGTTAAAAACCAAAATTTCTCATAATTTCATATTCTAACAGTTTGCACTATCTTTAAAGAAATATTATTCTATATTAATATACACCTTTAAAAATTATTCCTCTTATACCAATGGAAACTAGACTCAAATACGAATCTATCCATATAAGGCACTTCTTCTAGTTCATTTTTTACATTTTATGATGAATTTTAATATCTGACCGACATAATCTATTTTGAGCAGAATCTGTTGTCCCCGTTTTCTTACTATCCTCGGTTAAAAATTCATATATTTTTGTATACACCTCGAAATAAGTTTTTGTTTGTTCTTAAAAAAACTATATTGGTACACTATCCAACAGTATAAAAAAATCCTCCAATAATTTCTTTAGAATTTATAGTGATTTTCTAAACTTACGGTCTAGAACATAAATTCTAAGCAGGTTTCAGCAATTTGCATTTTCAACTTGTTCACTAATTCTTTTAGCTCACCAAATGAACATATATGCATGCATCAAAAATAAAATAACATTTCTAGGAGTCACTCCTTACGATAGTAACTCCGTCACTGGCTTATCGAAGGCTTATATTTGTTTGATAACATAAGTACAAATTAAATTTGCACTCACCTGGTGTCCTTTGCTTGTAACCTTCCTTGGAATTTCCCATTTCTTACTTAAGTTTCTCCTTAGCTTTAAAAATATTTGATCTTGCTTTCAATCACTCAATCTCTAAATAAACATCATTACCAAACATATACAAATTCAAACCAAATGTTAGAATCTTACTAACATAGGCATACTTTGGAAAATAAATTCCTAACAAAATTTCCGATGCTTATTCGATACAATTTCCATGTCACAACATAAACGTTGGCCTTAACACTTCCAATTGACCATTCAAATTCCATTTAATCCAAATTCACATAACATTTTCACTTGAGCTCCCAAAGTTTCCATATTTGTGCTTTAAACCTTAACTTTTATAAGCTTTCCAAAATAATCCAATTTCACATCCTAACTTCAAATTGAACACTCAAACATTAATTTCCAGCATAATACATCTAATATTGAACAATTATACAACAAGCCACAACTTTCTAAAATTGTCGATTAGGTCCCCCAACTTTTCAAAAATTATAGAATGGTCCCCAAATTTTTATAAGGTTTATAGAATACTTCCTACATCATTTCCAGACCTTACATAATTTTTGGAGAATTTTCCTCATTCTTTAAGACCAAGGCCGAATGTTTCAAAGTTCCAAAACTAGGTTTTTCATGATTTTGCTCGATTTTGATTCGATTCAAGCATGAAATCAATTTCCATCCAACCTTACATCATCTCTGCAATCAAAGCCCTAATTAAATTTCATCAATACACAAAATTTCCACAACTTATAATTTGTCTGAATATCAGGGAAACATTTCTAGGAAGATTAAACATGTTTTAATCATCAAACAAGCTTGAAAATGAATCTACAACCTCAAAAGCCTCAATATTCATCATCAATTTCATGAACCCTAATGTGAACAAAAACCCTAGAATTTGAGATCTTTGAAATCAAGAAATATTAGCAAGCATAAATGGTACAAAAATAGTGTTTATCGCGTAGAACAATTTTATATTTCACGGCATAACCCGAAATCCAAAGGAAATTGCTCAAAAATTGAAAAAATATTTCTTACCTTTGGAAGGGTTCACGTTTGAGGGGTTCACGAAAAAGTTTGAAAAGATGAAGATTTTCTCTTGAAAATTCTTCGTCTTTCTTTTTTAAATAACGAATTAAAAATTTATTAAATGCTAAATAACCAATTCACCCTTAAAATTAAGATATCTTTACCAATTTACCCTTAATGAAACTTGATATTTACCTTAATACCAAGCCTCATAAACCTTATCATCTTCCAAAGTCAATGATGAACAAAATAATTCCCACTTTACTGTTTTTCCCTTGTAATTTCCTAAAAATTACAATCTTGCTACTTTTAATCCAACGATCCAAATTTAACATGGAATTAAATCCTTAAATCAAATGCTCCATATTATTTTCCATCATTTTAAAACTTGGAAATAATATTCTAAGCTTAATTTATCATCCTTTAAATTTTTCCAAAATTTCTATTCGATCCAATTAACCGAATTTTTACCAGACTTTATCACTTTATAGCTTTAAATACCAAATTCGTACGAAAAATATGATTCCAACATAAACATCATTCATGGGGTAAACTATTCATTTATAGGGCTGGATTATATAATTTTTAAAATTACACTTTAGTCCCTAAACTTTTCCAAAGTATATACTTTAGCCACTTAACTTTTAAAATTTATATTTTGGTCACTAACCAAATCTATTTATGGAATAAAAATTCTTTTTGGGAAAATTTCCACTTAGGTCCTTAAACTTTTCTCAATTTTCTACTTTGGCCATTAAACTTAAAATTTACATTTTGGTCACTAACCAAATTTTTGGGGTATTAAAGTGTTCTTAATAGATGTTTTATTAGAGATAATTGTATCATATTGTATTATGATCTTAGTTGTTTTTAGAGACAACATTGAGATTTGAATGTTATCTTTCCCCCAACATTATGTTAAGTGTTAAAAAATCATTAAGTTAAGTGTTAATTGTTGCATGAGTCATAACTATAGTGCTACAAAATAATTCTTTCAAGAGCCAAGTAAAACAACATTGTAGGTCCATCAGTCTGTTTATTCTTCTGTATGTTGCAACATTCCCCTGCTTTCATCATCTTGATCTATTATTTTTTCTACTTCTTCATCAATTATCAAATCACTATTTCTTTTATAGTTAGACTATTTTGCAACAAGTTTTGCTCCCTATGGGATTCAATGCTCGCAACTTTATTGTTACCACTTAATTACTTGGTCGATACTGTTCACTTGTACTTTTTCTATAGCATTTACTTAACATCAAGTTTTTGGCGCCTTTGTCGGGAGCATCGGTTTTGCATTAGAGTTTATTTTTGTTACTTATTTGTTCTTTTCTTTTTGCAGGTACTTATTAATTTTATTAGTTTCATTGGTTTATGCCACATGGTGACGACAAACTAGAGTCATTTGATCCTAAAATAAAGAGAACATTCAGACGCTATCGAAGGGAAGCTATGAGATGTTAAACAATTATGAATGTTGAAAATGGCAACAATACTCTACCTCCGCTATAACATGGAGATGATGCTGAATTACCGGCTGAAAATGGAGTTGGATAACAACAATTTTACAATATGGATGACTGCAATTGGCCTATTAGAGAGCACATGTTGCCAACACATGATGATTTACATAATGGGATAGTGCGACCAAGAATTCATGCTGCAAATTTCGAATTGAAGCTGGTCATGTTTCAAATGCTACAGTCGATGGGACAATATGGTGGATCATTTTTTAAAGATCCTTGAGCATATTTGCGAGCTTTTTATGGAGGTCTACGATTCATTTGTTCCACAAGGAGTCCCTAAGGAAGCTTTTATTGAAGTTGTTCCCATATTCGCTGCGTGACAAAGGTAGAGCTTGGTTGATATCGCTACCGCCTGGTGCTATAGCACCCTGGATTTGGCAGAATAGTTCTTACTGTAATTTAATCCACCTAATATGAATGTGAAGCTGCGAAAGGATTTGACATCTTTTAAACAAATAGAAGACGAAAGGTTGTATGAGGCTTGGGAGCATTTTAAGGAGTTATTGTGCAAATGTTCAATTCATAGTTTTCCACATTGGGCACAAATTGAAATGTTTTATAGTGTTCCAAAAACGCAAAATCGGATGGTCGTTGATGTTTCAGTTAATGTAGCATTGTTGGTTAAGACATATAATGAGGCTTATGATATTCTAGAACGAATATCTAGCAATGACTACCAATATCCTAACACGAGGAACATGTTCGATAGACACAATGCTATAGCAATTAATATAGATGCTTTTAATTCTATGGCTTCCCAAATTTCAGCATTGACAAAAATGCTTAAGAAGTTGCAAAAGCCTAGAGGCATGTATGAAGTGAAGGCTATAACTACTCTATCTTGTGTGTATTGTGGTGAAAACCATAGTTATGAAGAATGCCCTAAAAATAAGGACTTTGTTTATTTTGTGATAAACTATAGGAATGATAATATGTTAGGATATACGAAGCTCAATTTGAACAACCGAAAAATGTACAATGGGGTGAAAAGGAAAATATTGTTTAAGGAGTGTCACACCCCAAAAATAGGGCCTAAAATTCTATTAAAAAATTCTCAAGGACTAAATTGAATTTTGATTAATTTCGATGACCAAAGTAAAATTTTGATTAAATTTGGATCCAATTTCAGAAAGCAACTAAAGATGGAGGACCTATAGTGTATTTTGCCATTTTATTTTTAAGGGTTTATATAACCCCAAATATGGGGAAAATTTAATTAATTTCTCTCTCCCCAAAATTTTACTATTTTAGAAGGAAAATTTTGATCTTAGATTCATCGCCGATTGTTGCTCCTATTTTGACACCTCCCACATCATCGTGTTCCTTGCATCATCCTGATCCATCGGTGTCCTTCTTATCTCCGTTATCGCCAGTGTGAGGGGGTGAGGAATATCAAGTTTCTGACATTTCAAAATCGAGTTCTCCGCTGTTCATCGTTGTGAACCGAGCTTGGTAATTGTCTTAAAACCCCTTAAAATGCACTTAGAAATCTTTTAGAATTTTTCTGACCCCCTACAGCCTCGTACGCACCCCCACGTGCCACTGTGCGTGGGGAAAGTCAACCGCCTGGTGGACTGGTTGGAATGGGTCGATCCGACTCGCTGACCTGACCCGCTAATCTGTCCCGTCTGCCCGACTCGACCCGATCCAACGTTGACCGTTAACCGACCGTTGACTTTGACCAAAAGGTTAAAATTTTGGAAAAGTCATATTTTATGTTTTTCGACGTTTTGAGTCTGATTCCGAAGTTTTTTTTGCAAATTCTGACCTGAAATGCCCGAATGGAGCCTCTTAATCCAAAAATGTTTAGTATTTTTCTTATTTATTTGAGATTTGGTTATGGAAATGATCCAAGAAGATATATTTATGAAGGTACTCGTATTTCACCCGACCGAGGGTCAATTAGATTCTGTGTTTCCTGTTCATTAGACCCGTTCGATCTGCATTCCACGAGGGTTTAACTGTAGGTTTTCATAAATTATTTAAATAAAGGTTAATATTATTCATATTATGATTTCGATATGGATTTTTCGATTTGTAGGATCTAGCACTGCCACTGATCCTGATCGATAGAATCAGTAGTAGGCTTTCCTATTAGACTACCCAAATCGATACAAGGGTGTTTCCTATTGGTGTTACATTACTCTTTTCAACTATATGTCCAAACTATTTGAGATTTATGATAATATTGAATATCTTTATGACACAATACTTGATTTTCTGAACAAGGTTTATCTGATATCTAATTTATTGTATATTTCTGATGTGATCTCTGGATTATCGATTTTCATATATGATTTATGAAGATAAAATATTTTCATGTTTTAAAGGATTAACTACCATTTTCATTTGACTACATACATGTTATTTCTGTCATTGGGGGTTTTATTAGAGGAAGTATCTCAGGCCTAGTCTATGACTTGTAAGACCTTACCGTTTTCCGTAGGCTCCTTGACTTTGTGCTCGGGGTAAGTCTTTACTGTAGACTCCTCTGCTTTGTGCACATGATAAGACCTTACTGCAGGCTCCTCTGCTTTATGCACAGGTTAAGTCCTTACTGGGTGTACATGTGGGTGTATGGTTCTGGGGAACCTACACATTTTGGTGATCGGACGGGGGTAGTGTTCATGTTTTTAAAACATATTTTGATAAACCGATTTTACTGAAATATTTTATATGTATGTTTTTATACACTATAAGGAGCACACTGAGCTTTTTAGCTCATTCCATAAATTTTAACCTATTCAGACTATAGCAGACTAGGCTAGCAGACTAGGCATCAGGAGGACCAACTTCTCCTAATTTTGTACCACTGTATATTTCTATATATCTTTCTGTTATATTTTGGTACATGTGTTTTGTTACCGTCTAGATATATCTGTATTATCGGTATTTTGTTCCGTAAATGTTTTATACGGTTTTCTATGGTATTTTGATATGTATATGTTTTATGCAGTTTTCTGACATATGTATCATATATGTTTGTCATAAGAATCTTTATTATGGATTTTAACGTTGTTTTAAATATGAAAAAAAATTCTGAATGCGATATGTGACCGTATAGATTTGGGCCTAACGTCCAGGCTGGATCTAGGGGTTACACTTGGTGGTATCAGAGCTTTTGATTTTAAACACTAGGACTGTGGATGAGTAAAAAAATCTGGATTTTCAAGAATTTTTCAAAAAAAATCGTGTCACCTTATTGTATGAGTTTAAATATATTTGAGGTTCTTGATGTTAGTCTAACTTAGGTTTAAAATCTTTTTGTATAGTTTTATAGATTTACTCGATGAGTGAGACTAAGGGTCGTAAGCCAGGCCATGGCCGTGGTCGAGGGTGAGCGACTCGACCTTCTGTTACTATAGATGATCCCATGTCACCTTGAGATCCTTCTGTCCCGCATTTATATCTGTATAATTATAGAGATGATTTGGTTACTCTTGCGAGAAACCCTTCCATCAATGAGGACGAGGACACTGATATAGATGAGGATGCCATTAACAGAGCTATCTTTTGCATGTTCAGGAGAACTGCTGGAGCCTCTGGTAATATGTATGCTGTCAAGATTTTGAAGGATTTGGTAGCTGCTGGAGTAGTTCTAATTCTAAGGGTCTTAATATTTTTGTTGAGACTACTGAGAATTCGATGATAGTTCAAAGTCATTTAGGTTAGTCCATATAGTTAGATCTTATTTTTAGAGGGTGTCCTATAGAGATCCATAGGGAGATCTTTCTGGCTGGCCTGATGGAGTTATCTTTGGAGGAGTTTGACTTAATTCTTGGCATGAATTGTGAGACTAAGAGAGCTATTATGAAGACTCCAGATAACCGAAAGATTGTGATGATTGGGGAACATTGAAGATTCCTGAAGAATGTTGTATCGATATTGGTAGCTAAAAGGATTATTGAAAAGGGATCTGAGGCGTTTCTTGCTTATATTCTAGATACTATGAGCTCTTGATCTGACATTGAAGGCATACTGATTGTTAAGGAATTTCCCGATATTTTTCTGAAGAGCTGTCGGAATTACCACCGGATAGAGAAGTTGAGTTTGAGATTGAAGTCTATTCCGATTCTACCCCAATTTCGATGGCTCCTAATCGTATGGCCCCAAAGGAGATTAAAGAACTAAAAGTCCAACTCCAAGAGTAGTTGGATAGAGGATTTATTCGACCCGGTGTATCACTGTGGGGAGCCCCAGTTCTCTTTGTCAAGAAGAAAGATGGGATATTGAGACTTTGTATTGATTATAGGAAACTGAACAAGCTCAAGGTTAAAAACAAATATCCTCTACCCAGGATCGATGATTTGTTTGACCAATTTCGAGGGGCTTTTATCTTTTCAAAGATAGACTTGAGGTCTGGTTATTACCAACTCAAAGGGAAAGATTCTGATGTCCCAAAGGTTGCTTTCCATACCCGGTATGGGCAATACGAGTTTATAGTGATGTCATTCGGGTTAAGTAATGCCACTGCTACTTTTATGGAATTGATGAATCGGGTGTTTCGACCATATATGGACCAGTTTATGGTTGTGTTTATTAGCGACATATTGGTGTATTCTTGAAATAAAGCAGAATATATGAGCATTTAAGGATTGTTCTGCAGACTCTAAGGGAAAATAAGTTATACGCCAAGTTGAGAAAGTGTGAGTTCTGGCTCAGCGAAGTGACTTTTCTTGGACATATCGTTTCTGCTGAGGGTATCCGAGTGGATTCGAGTAAAGTGGAGGCTATTATGGAACTATTGTCATTTCATTGAGGGGTTCTCCATTATTACAGCTCCTCTAATGAAACTATTGAGAAAAGATGTTCCATTTGTCTGGTTTGAGAACCAACAAGCTAGTTTTGAGAAACTGACGATTGTTCTGACTCAAACCCAATGCTGATTTAGCCTGAGTTTGGGAAAAATTTTTCTTTCTATAGTGATGCTTGTAACTCTAGATTAGGATGTATTTTGATGCAAGATGGAAAGGTTGTCGCTTATGCGTCACGTCAGATAAAGCCGCATGACGCATTATCCCACTCACGATCTGGTTAGCTGTCATGGTTTTTTTTTAAAGATCTGGAGAAACTATCTCTACAAAAATGTTATCTATTCGATCATAATATCTGAAGTATCTACTTACTCAGAAATAGTTGAATTTGAGACAACGTCATTGGTTGGAGCTTCTAAAGGACTATGATTCTGAGATAAAGTATCATCCCGGAAGGCTAATGTGGTGGCCGACGCCTTGATCCTAAGGTGATATCTCTGAGAGCCTTGTTCGCCAGCTTGAGTTTATTTGATGATGACAATCTGTTAATAGAGTTGTAAGTTAAACCCATTTTGGTCAAGGAGATTAAGGCCAAACAGCTCCTTGATAGCTCATTGCTTTCTATTATTGAACAAGTTGAGCAAAGATCGAGTTCATAGTATACTTTGGATCAGGATGGTATTTTGTGCTTTCACAGTTATTATTGCATCCCTAAAGATGATTAGTTTAGATGGATTATTCTTCAGGAGGCTCATAGTAGTCATTCTATTCATCC